TAATGTGTTTGCGCCTCTGTTCCAAGGAGGAGAGGGCTCTTCCCCCCCCATGTGTTTTGACCTTTCCAAGGGTAGGTGTGAGCACAACACTTGAGGATTCTGGAACAATCCAGAAAGCCTTGCAGGCCCTGGCTAATGCAGAAAGCTGGATTAAGGTCTCTCCCGGCCCTGTGATTATCTGACTAAGTGTAAATGGCAGAGGTTGCTGCCTGCTTGCAGAAGTCACTTTTAGCAGCTACCACTTAGGAGTCACAAATAAGGGATTATGAAGCCTTTTCTTTTCAGCTTCCTTGTTGCCCCTCAGCTATTGTGCACAGAGATTCTTAACTAATAGCTGTGTTCTGAGTGACTATTTCCCAGTAACTACTGTTTCAGGGCTGAAAAAGGAAAAGAAGTTAATGTTTTCCAAAGACTCCCTTGCAAGCCTTTTGCAGCCCAAGGGTGAATTTCACCGGCGTCTTGATCCCTGGCAGTAGAGGCTGAGGGCTGTCTTGGAGACCAGAAGCAGCAAGCAAGAACTCCCAGAACAAAAGAGAGGCAAGGGAATTATATATTCAAATGCCCTGATAGAAGAAGGCTTTAATCAAAGACACCATAGAAAACAAGCCGCAGGCTGATAGGGAGTATTTGGAACATGAAGGTGTCAAAGGGGTCCAGGCTTATTCTGAAAAGAACAAAATGACTGGGGAAAATGGTCCTTCCTAGTTGAGCAGAGCTATGTCAGCACTAACAACATGAGGGGGCACCTATTAGAAAGGTGCCAAGGGTTGGAGATTATTCAAAGTGTGACCGTCTTTACCATCCCGGCCCTCCTACCCCCACCACAAATGAAGTGAGAAACATTAGAATTAGTGCCAGATCCTGATTGAAAATAGAAGTTTGCAGAAGTTGGAAAATTCAACATGCAAGACTCTGGCACCAGGGATAACTAACTAGTCCAAGGCAGTGGATGGCACAATTTTGTGTAATTAGGACACATTTGGGAGGAGAGAAAAAAAGAACTCTCCAATCAGGAATTTACTGATTTACATAAACATTAGTGTGATCGTTGGTTTCAAATCCAATGGTGCCTCCTTCATATTTACATCCTAAATTAATGAGGGGCAGGATGCCAAGGACAGCGATGTTGCTGGCTTTCGGTGGCACACAAAACTACCCACCAGACTCTGGGGAAACCTTCAAAGTAGATGTTTCTAGGTTACCAAGTTATTTTTCTCCTGTATTTCCCACCCCTTTCTTTTTTTTTTTTTAAAGATTTTATTTATTTATTTGAGAGAGAGAATGAGAGACTGAGAGCATGAGAGGGAGGAGGGTCAGAGGGAGAAGCAGACTTTCTGCTAAGCAGGGAGCCCTATGTGGGACTCGATCCCGGGACTCCAGGATCATGACCTGAGCCGAAGGCAGTCGCTTAACCAACTGAGCCACCCAGGCGCCCCTTCCCACCCCTTTCTAAAGAAAATTAAAGTCTGGAACAATTAATTCAAAAGTCAAGAAATTTGATTATCTGAGTCATGCATTAAGCCATGGCCATTAACTAGTACTGCATGATAAATCACTCCAAAGCTTAGTGACTTAAATTAACCACAATCATTTTATTACCTCTTCCAGTTTCTCTGGTCAGGAATGTAGGGAGGGCTCAGTGGGGAGATTCTGGTCTGGGGCCCCTCATACGATTGCAATCAGACAGTGGCTGGAGCTAGAACAGCAGAGGAGCTGGAGAAGCTGCGGTCTTACTGGGGTTCTCCCTCTTGTAGCCTCAAGGTCTCTCCATGCAGTCTCTCCACAAGTGCTGGTTGAGCTTCTTCACAACATGGTGGCCAAGCGCGCCAGTGCAAGTAATTCAGCTCCCAAGGGAGGAGCATCAACTTTTATGACATGGCCTTCGAAGTCATGTGGCATCATTTCTACCACATTCTCACATTGGTTACAAGTGAGTCACAAGGCCACCTAACTCAAGGGGAATTAGTGGAGAATTCTTAATTCCTACTAGAGAAATTGCAAGCTTCCAGAAGAGCAATGTGGGATGGGAGATATTGTGGCCATCTTTGGAAAATACAATATGCCATAAGATATGAATAACTGATGATCCTAACCTTTAAAAGAAATTTTTGTATTTTAAGAAAATGATGTTAACCCAATAGATCTCTAAATTAGTGAAATATGTCCTGAAGAACCTAGTGTTCGCTACCTTCGACCCCTTCTTCTCCACATTACCTCTGATTCTTCAGGGTCAAACAGGGTGTAATGTGATGTGTTAGTTTGTTGGGGCCCCCATAACAAAGTACCACAGATTGGGGGGCTTATACAACAGAAATGTATGTCTCCCAGTTCTGGAGGCTAGAAGTCTCAGATAACGATGTCAGCGGGGTTGATCCTTCCTGAGAACTGTAAGAGAACAACTGGTCCATGCCTCCCCTTTAGTTTCTGGCAGTTTGCTGGGACTCTCTGTTGTCCCTTGTCTTGTGGAAGCATCCCTCGCATCTCTGCCTTCATCTTCACATGGCATTCTCCCTGATGCATGTGTCTCTGTCCAAATTTCCCCTTTTTTATAAGGACACCAGTCCTATTGGGTTAGGGGCCCATCCTACTCCAGCGTGACCTCATCTTAACTAATTATATCTGCAGTGACCTTATTTCCAAATAAGGTTACATGCTGAGCTACTGGGGTTAGAACTTCGACATGTGAATTGGGGTGGGGGGGGCATTCAACCCACAACATGTGTCTTATTTTCTGAAGGAAGGAGCTTCTTTTGATATGGTTTCTAAGATTATGAATGGGAGAGTAGCACCCAATTGCAAGTAACATTTTCAAATTTTCTATCTTCTTTCCATGGCCCTTGCCATTCTCTCCTATCTCCTAAACACCTTCAAATTTTAAGGAAAGGTTTTCATTAAGGCTATTGATGTCATTACAGTATTTTAGGATTAACGGTGTTTTTTATTAGAATGTCCATAAATAAATAAATAAATATTTTTAAATGTCATTATCAGATGTTGGTTATAGAACCTCATTCCCTCCCAAATTCTCTATAATCCTAATGTCACTAGTTATAGAACTTCAAATTGCCTAAGATTTTTCAAGACCTTATCCTCTTTGGAACCTGGGCCTCATATCTATGCAGCAACTTAGTTCATTTAAGGAGGCTCAAAGAACAATTTCTTGACTTAGGCAATGTGAAATTGTTCTCTCTTAATATTATGCAGACATTTAAAAATGTATTTCCTTTGGATGTTTGAAGCAAAAAGAAAGACAGTCACCTCCTGCTGTTTCATTAGGGAAGCCGCACCTCTTTGGTTTTCCTGACCGAGCACTTATCTTGTACTTGATGTTTTCAAAATACCGTCCAAGCCTTAAATAGCCAGTTTCCACTACATCTTTATGAGATGTGAGGATTCTTGCCATTTTTAGTAAAGGAATTTGAAGCAAAAAGCACCAAGGTGACCTGTATAGCAAAGGTGGTATAACAAATCAGGACTAGAGCCAAGTGTCTGCCATGTCATGAACTAAAACTTTGTTTTGTGCAAACCCAGGGACAGATTCTCACGACCACATCCCTTTCCCGTCTTCCCAGAAGCCAGATGCCCACTTTCCCCTCTGCTCTGCAGTCACTGGGGAAGCAGCAGATGAGGCAGGAATTAGCAGATGCCCAGCAAACAAGGACAAGGCCTAGCAGATACCGACTGGAAGCAGGCCTGTTCTTAGTGTTTCTAAAACACCCCCTGGAGAGTCTCAGAAATCAGAGGGGGAACCTTTGGGATATGAAGCCCCATTCAGCAGGTGGGCATCGCAATGCAATCAGTCACTTTACCCACTGGGCGGTGAGGTCTGGGAAAATCAGGACATGTATCAATACTAAAAATGGTATAGGAGGTGTTCCTTCTAGTCTTAGAAAGCTGCGATCTTCTTGATTAGAGACTCCACTGGAAACAAGCCCTCTGCAATTCTTTGGTCTAGTCTTAAGCCAGCAAACAATAATAGCAAACTTTACGGTCTTTCCTAAATTAGGAAGGTGCGGCCAGACAGACTCCCAGACATCTTATGTGGCTGCTTCCCCAGGAAGACTTGTAGGCCCCATAACACTCTGTAGTATTTGCAGAGTTCTTGGTTTCTCCTCTGATGAGAGAATATTGCATATCATTGGCTGGTCCTATACTTGAGAGCAGGAAAATTAGTGGCATGCAAATTATCTTATTTAAGGTCGTTCAAGACTCCACCCAGACCAGCATTTTATGCTTAGGCAGGCCATTAAAGCAAAAAGCAAATGCAAATTACAAGCTCCCCTGCAGAGGTACCAAGCATACCCTTTCCCTTCTTTTCTCTTTAGTCATTCACTTTAAAACTGTGATTGCCTCTTTACTTGGCAGAAGTATATCTAAGTAAGGTGTGTTTTGCTTTGATTGTAGGATACTCGGGTGCAATAGCATATGGTGTGGACCTCTTTCTAAGCAAGAAAATAAGTTCAGGCTTCGCATCTTCATATCAAGATGCCATGTTGGTCCTGCACACCTGAATTCTAAGCACAGGGATCTGAGCATTTAGGTCTATTTTCCTAATCAATACTAGGAAACTCATCCCATTTCTCAGTTCATCTTAGTATAGGTTTTCAGTTATAAAACTTTTACATTCACAATGTTTATTATTTATACATGTCTTAATGATTTATTTTTAGAGTTTTTACTACAAGGCACCTCAAATCTTTTTTTAAATAATGTAAACATGGTATTAATAATAAATAAAACACATAATATTCAACACTGAGGATTTCCTTAAAAATCATTGTGTTTTGGGGTGCCTGGGTAGCTCAGTCCTTGGGCATCTGCCTTCAGCTCGGGTCGTGATCCCGGGGTCCTGGGTCCTGGGATCAAGCTCCGCATCGGACTCTCTGCTCAGCGGAAAGCCTGCTTCTCCCTCTCCCACTCCCCCTGCTTGTGTTCCCTCTCTCTCTGTCAAATAAATAAATAAAATCTTTAAAAAAAAAATCATTGTGTTTTGTTCATAGGTTGACTAGAGAACACTGGTAAAAGATAACCAGTCCTGTTATTTTGCTGGACACACTCATACTGCCATACTGGAAGTTAAGATACTGAAATCTCTGGATGAATTGTTTAAAGCCACTGTCCTCCTGAGGACCTACCACAGGCACTGAACTCTGCACCTTCCCTGGGACCTCCCCCTTATTCACCTTCTCCAGGATCCAGCAACCAAAGGGGCCCTAAAGGACCAACTCCAAACTATGACCAGTTGCCATTCTCTCATGTTGGTAATCTTGCTGTTCTGGCTATGTATTTTAATATTCCCCTTAGAGGGAAGGTTTTTGCTACTCTTGCATCCCTTTAGTGCTAACAATAGCTTCGCACTAATTTTTTGCAAACAATATTCTTAACCGACTGAGCCACCCAGGCGTCCCATAAACAATATTCTTTTAAGGGCAAGGTAGTGGTGAAGAATACAGATTCTGAAGCTGGACTGCTTGGGTTCAAGCCCTGGTTCAGCCTCATATTTGTCCCTGTGACCTTAGTGCGTTCTGTATCTTCTCCACACCTCATTTCTTTCTCTGTGAGTTGGCGGTAATAGTGGTATCTCCTCATAGGGTTGTTGTGAGGAATGAACAGCGAAGATAAGTCAAGCAGTTAGAACATGCTCATAGTAAGCTCAGCATATTAGCCATTATTACTGAGCATCTACCATGTGTCAGGCACAGTACTAAATGCTTTCTGTTATCTTATCCCCCCAACACCCCATCAAGTAGATATTATCACCCCTATTTTAAAGAGAACTGAATCTCAAAGAAATTAAGAAAGGTTACCATGCTGGTAATGGATAGAGCAGATTTAAATTCCTATCTCTGGGGCACCTGGGTGGCTCAGATGGTTAAGCGTCTGCCTTCGGCTCAGGTCATGATCCCAAGGTCCTGGGATTGAACCCCACATCGGGCTCCCTGCTAAGCAGGGAGTCTGCTTCTCCCTCTCCCTCTGCCTGCCACTCCCCCTGCTCGTTCTCAATCTCTTTCTGTCAAATAAATAAATAAAATCTTAAACAAAAAAAGAAGGGCGCCTGGGTGGCTCAGTCGTTAAGCATCTGCCTTCAGCTCAGGTCATGATCCCAGGGTCCTGGGTTCGAGCCCCACATCGGGCTCCCTGCTCAGCGAGAAGCCTGCTTCTCCCTCTCCCACTCCCCCTGCTTGTGTTCCTGCCCTCGCTGTCTCTCTCTGTCAAATAAATAAAATCTTAAAAAAAAAAAGAAAAAGTACGTTAATTTAAAAAAAATAAAAATAAATTCCTATCTCTTTGACCCAAAGTCTATGCTTTCCCCTCTGATTTAGAGTCTTCCCTGGTAGAAGTAACACTTGGCAGCAAAGAAGAAAGAGAAGAGGCCATCTGGTCCAGGTACCTTTGTTAAATGGCAAGTATGTGAAGATTCTAAGTGGATACAGACACCTTGCAGAGGATGGATGGCAAATGGAGTTCCTGTCTAACTAGAAGAGTTAGAGCTTCTATTAACAACAATGTTCTCCCACCACCCCAGCTTTGGCAGGCATCCCCGACCCCTCCTGTTCCCTCACTCCCAGACCTAGTCACTAAGCCCCTCAATTCTGTTCCAGTGGTGTCTCTCACATCCCTGCCATTCCATTCATGCTTTGTGCTAACACTCCATTTCAAGTTCTCATTACCTCATGTCTAGATAATTTCAAAAGCCTCTTAACTAGAGTCCCAGCCTCCATGTCTCTAAGTCACCCCTCCTGCAATCACCACATTATCCCTAAAGAAACTGCTTCTATCACATGATTTCACCATTCAAACCCCCCCACCCCTGCTGCCGCCACACACACCCTGTGACTACCCAGTGTCTACTGACTATAGTTCAGCTATTTAGAATGACCTTCCAATTCCTTCTTAATCTAATTCCAATCTTTATTTCCAAACTGCTCTCCCAGGATTCTTCTGTAAGAATCCTATGATTTAGCCAAGATTGTTTCCTTGTTATTCCTTAACCATGCTATTTCCTTTCCCACCTCCAAGCCTTACCCACTCCATTCCTCATGCCTGGCCCATTCTCCTCCACTCTTCTAAATCCCATATGTCCATCATAACCCAACGTGACCACCCTTTCCGCTGTGACCCCTTCCATGCCCACTCCAGGGAAGTGAATCTTCTCCTTTATCTGACCTATACCCCTCATTTGGCACCTAGACTCCATTGCCTTATATTATAAATTTGCTCTTTGTACCTGCTCTGTTTTCCCAGGTACCTTGTGACTGCCTTACAGCCAGGGGAGCGAAGGAGATGGATGGTGGGAGGGTTTTGACAGGGAGGTGGCGGTATAGCCTGGTGGTTAGGCCTTTGGGCTCAGGGATCAGACAGCCTGGGTTTGAATCACAGCTCTGCATTAACTACCTAACTAGGCAATTTTTATCAAGACAGCTAATCTCTCAGTGTCCCCATCTATAAAACTAGGACAATGACTGTTCCTTCCTCAAAGAGCTATTGTGAAGATTAATGAGCTGGTATGTAGAGAGCCCTTATCCAGGGCCTGGCACGTAGATAAAGCTCAATCAATATTATTTATTATCGAACCAAAACAGAGAGTGCATGATGTGCTAGACCCCAAATAAATTACTTTATTTAATTTGTATGACAACCCTATAAGGTAATAGATCATGCCTTAGCTCTGCCCTAGCTCTGGAGCCTTCTCACCAGCCCTGAATCAGGACTTTTCCATGAGAGAGAAGCTCACCCCAGTCACGTGTAAGCCATGTTTAATATCCCTGTTGCAGCTGAACTTAATTCTAACAGGCACGATTCCTGTCACTCTGGTGCTGGAAATAGTGGCACTTCTCTCTAGTGACCGCTAGGAACTTCATTTCTAGTATTCAAAAAATTATATTAGGAGGGAATAACCCAATTTAAGTCTTTCCTACATTGGTCAGCTTTTCTTTAGAGTGAGCAGGAGGATATGAGATTGAAGAATAAAGAGAGAGAAACAGATACAGATTCTTTCCAAAAAGGCGGGGAGGAGGTGGGACTGGACTAAACTCAGGGACCCTAGGCGGCCGTCACCATAACCCCCTGGGGACGCTGGGGCAGATGCAGTTTCACTGCTGACACAGTCTCTTCAGAGAATAACGTGGCTGTTTCGGGCTGTGTAGATCTTAAGTCCAGCCTCAGGTCAGAAACATGCCTGGAGCTGGCTATGGGTTGTTTTGGTTATGATTTAGCAATTTGCGTTAAGTCATGACCTTGGTCTGTCCTTTGTGCATCTACCTAAAAATGAAGAAAAGTGGAGGGGGTGGAGCAAGATGGCAGAGGAGTAGGAGACCTGGATTTCGTCTGGTCCCAGAAATTCAGCTGGATAGGGATCAAACCATTCTGAACACCTACGAACTCAACAGGAGATCGAAGATAAGAGGAGTAACAACACTCTGAACAGAAAAGCGACCACTTTCTGGAAGGTAGGACGTGCGGAGAAGTGAATCCGAGGCGATATTCGGGAGGATAGACGGCAGGGGAGGGGGCCTCCGTCGGCCGCTTCTGGCAAGTGATAGAGCCGCGGAGCACAAAATTGGACCCTTTAGAAGTCGGCTCCGCTGAGGGACGTCACTCCAGTGGCTAAGCGGGGGGTGGCACCCTCGCAGGACAGTGTGGTCTCAGGACCCTCAGGGTCACAGAAAGACCGGGGGTGCCTGAGTGCGGCAGAGCTCCCAGGTATTGGAGCGGGGAAGCCGGCTGCAGAGACGGAGCCGAGGCGCGGGCTCTCAGCTCGGGGTTGCCATAAACTGTGATCCGCGGCCCAGTCGGGCCACTGCTCCTCCAGCAGGGACCCAACAAGCGGCAGAGCCGCAGAGACTCCCCTTCCTTCCCGGGGAGGAGCGGTGCGGGAGTGCACCGCAGGGATCTGCTGGGTTTGGAGACTCCACACGGGGTCGGGAGCCAGAGATAGAAACGCTCGGTCATAGGCCGGGTGAGCACGGAGTGGGCATGGGAGACCAGGGAGATGGGAGTGACTGCTTTTCTCTGGGGGTGGCACTGAGGAGCGGGGCCCGAGTTCTTGGCTCCTCTGGGGCGGAGATTGGGAGGCCGCCATTTTCACTCTCATCCTCCAAAGCTGTACCGAGAGCTTGCAGGGAACAAAAGCTCCCGAGAGCAAACCCGAGTGGATAAATTAGCCCGGACCCGGCAAGGGCAGGGCAATTGCACCTCCGGCAAAGACATTTGGGAACCATGGCAACAGGCCCCTCCCCCAGAAGATCAGCAAGAACAGCCAGCCAAGACCAAGTTTACCGAACAATGAGAACGTCAGAACGCCAGCGCTAGGGGAATACTGCACATAGAATTCATGGCTTTTTTTTACCATGACTCTTTAGTCTTTCAAAGTTAATTTTTTTAACTGTCTTTTTTTTTTGAATTTTTCTTTTTCCCTTTTTCAACCAACATCTATCAATCCCTATTTTTTAAAAAACATTTTTATTTTTAGAGTCATATTCTATCCCTTCATAGTAGTTACCCTTATTTTTGGCATATATATATAAATTGTTCTCCCTTTAAAATTTTGAGATACAGTTTCCTCTAACATCAAAATATATCCTAAAGCTCAAGTGTATGGCTTTGTTCTAGTCTCCTGCCTGATCACATTCTCTCACTTTTTTTTCTCTTTTTTTAAAAATCCTCTTCTTTCTTTTTTCAAACAACTTCTTATCAATTCCTTTTATAAAATTTTTTATAATTTTCAAATTTACAGTCATATTCCATCCCTTCATCATATCAACTCTTATTTTTGTACATATATAAGTTTTTCTTTCTTTAAAATTTTGGGAAACACTTTCTTCTAACAGACCAAAATACACCCCAAATCTAGTGTGTGGTACTGATCTATGCACCAGCCTGATCATATTTGATCATATTCTGTTTTATTTTTGTTTTGTTCTGTTTTTGTTTGTTTTTATGTTTTTCTTTTTCTTTCTTTTTCTTTTTCTTTTTTCTTTCTTTCCCTTTGTTTTCCCCGGCCTCAGGTCTTTTCTGATTCGTTTAGAGTATATTTTCTGGGGACGTTGTTACCCTGTTAGCATTCTGTTTTCTCATTCATCTCTTCTTCTCTGGACAAAATGACAAGATGGAAAAAATCACCTCAACGAAAAGAACAAGAGGTAGTACCAACTGCCAGGGACCTACTCGATATGGACATTAGTACAATGTCAGACCTAGAGTTCAGAATCATGATTTTAAAGATACTAGCTGGGCTTGAAAAAGCATGGAAGTTATTAGAGAAACCCTTTCTGAAGAAATAAAAGAACTAAAATCTAACCAAGTCGAAATCAAAAGGGCTATTAATGAGGTGCAATAAAAAATGGGGGCACTAACTGCTAGGATAAATGAGGCAGAAGAGAGAATCAGTGATATAGAAGACCAAATGATGGAAAATAAAGCTGAGAAAAAGAGAGATAAACAATTACTGGATCATGAGGGCAGAATTCAAGAGATAAGTGATACCATAAGACAAAATAATATTAGAATAATTGGGATCCCAGAAGAAGAAAGAGAGAGGGGGGCAGAAGGTATATTGGAGCAAGTTATAGCAGAGAACATCCCTAATGTGGGGAAGTAAACAGGCATCAAAGTCCATGAGGCACAGAGAACCCCTCTCAATATCAATAAAAATACATCAACACCCCGACATCTAATAGTAAAACTTACGAGTTTCAGAGACAAAGAGAATATCCTGAAAGCAGCTCGGGAGAAGAGATATGTAACCTACAATGGTAGAAACATTAGACTGGCAACAGACCTATCCAGAGAGACCTGGCAGGCCAGAAAGGACTGGCATGATATATTCGGAGCACTAAATGAGAAAAATATGCAGCCAAGAATATTATATACAGCAAGGCTGTCATTGAAAAATAGAAGGAGAGATAAAAAGCTTCCAGGACAAACAAAAACTAAAGGAATTTGCAAACACAAAACCAGCCCGACAAGAAATATTGAAAGGGGTCCTCTAAGCAAAGAGAGAGCCTAAAAGCAACATAGACCAGAAAGGAACAGAGACAATATACAGTAACAGTCACCTTACAGGCAATACAATGGCACTAAATTCATATCTTTCAATTGTTACCCTGAATGTAAATGTAAAATGGGCTAAATGCCCCAATCAAAAGACACAGGCTATCAGATTGGATTAAAAAACAAGACCCATTGATATGCTGTCTGCAAGAGACTCATTTTAGACCCAAAGACACTCCCAGATTGAAAGTGAGGGGGTGGAAAACGATTTACCATGCTAATGGACCCCAAAAGAAAGCTGGGGTGGCAATCCCTATATCAGACAAATTAGATTTTAAACCAAAGACTGTAATAAGAGATGAGGAAGGACACTATATCCTACTTAAAGGGTCTAT